TGTGCAGAACACATCATAAACATGTTGGATCAGAATCAAAGGAAGGAATGAAGATGGGCAGAAGATAATTCAGTACTTTAAGATATGCAGTTGATACCGTGTGACTGGCAAGAATCAGCAAGGAAGAGAAATGAAAGTGAAAGGACAGAGTGCAAAAGCAGGACTGCGCAGGAATATTTGGAGGAGGAGGACATGACTACAGAAGAATTACAGACTGTTACTGCACAGAAGACATTGCAATGGTGAAATATTTTGCATACCTTGGCTCAGTCATAACTTCGAATGGAGAATGCAGTCAAGAAATAGAAGAAAACTTGAGATGGGAAGGGCAGCGATGAAGAAACTTGAAAAGATTATAAAGTAAGGAAGTTTCACTGGAGATCAAGGCCAAGATCATCCACACTATGGGATTTCCAATCTCTATGTATGAATGTGAAAGCTGAACAGTGAAGGAAGCTGACAGGAAGAATACTGATACGTTTGAAATATGGTGCTTGGTGAATACCCTGGATTGACAAAAAGACAAACAAGAGGGTGCTGGATCAAAAGCAAAAACGGCAACACTGAAGCTGTCCTATTTTGGGCACATCACAAGAAGGCAAGAACAGAGAAGACAATCCTACCAGGGAAAGTCAAAGGCAGAAAAATTAAAGGAAGGCCAAATGTGAGATGAATTGACTCCATGAAGGAAGCCACAGCCTTGAGTTTACAGGAGCTGGCCAGGGCTGTCTGGCACATGGCATTTTGGAAGGCTTTCATTCATTGGGTCCCCCGAAGTCAGAGACCACACCACATAATAACTACAACAACAGCAGCAAATTTGCCCAAAGTGGTCGATACCTAAGACACAAAATTCCACGTTAGTTCCCTTCACCTATATTCCCAGCAATGCAAATTTGGAAATGGATGCCACAAAAACTTGTAATGGTTTTAAAAGGGGATTAGACAAATTCATGGAGAAGATGGCTCTTCCCATTGTTTCTGGTCATGAGTGAAGATCTCAATGCCACTATCTGCATGTGTGTAATTTTCCTCCTGTCCTGACTACGGCCTTCCCACATTCATCCCGTAGCTTCTAAAGCCAGGGCTAAGGAAGCCCTGGGGAACCACTTCTGCAGCCAGCGTTGGCGAGACTGGGCTAGGTGGGCCAATGCTCTTGGTATAAGGCCGCTTGCTCTGTTCTGTTGAGGAGCAGCTCCCACCCTAATAGGAAAGGGATGTGAGACCTCCAGAATAGGCAAATGCCTTCATCCCTTCTTGGTTCCTAATGCTATCAGGTCATCTGGACCAGCTGGCTTCCGTATCCCTAGCAAGCAGCGCTCCAAGCCAAAGGCATTGCCATAGCAGTAAACACATTACTATCCATCAAGGATACTGGTCTAGACCCCAAATAGACATGCAACCCTCTTTTGCACTGAGCATTTCTGTTGGGAAAACCAAATCCTACATAATATACATCCTTCTCACCCCTCTGTTAATCTTAGGGAAACTTGCTTTCACCACACACAATTGCACACACACAATGAAGGCTCTGAAAAGTTTTGGTCTTCCTACTCCTACTTGAGTCTCATCAACGTGCTGCCCCATGTGCCTCCAGACCATGTCCTAAATTAGTTTTGTTCGCGCACCAACCTTGCCTCTCCCAGAGTAGCCTTCCCCAACTTATGGTTTTATTATTTTGTGCACTGCTGAATCTCACTCTTGTGCTCCCCCTCCAAGTGAACCCCTGGCAGCGTAAGACTTAAGCAACCTGCAAGGGTTCTGCCTGCCCTCAGATCTCCACTGCACATTTGCCAAGGGGGACAGAAGTTACCCCAGTGACCTTGGGGAAGGACAATTTCCTGATCCATGACATTTCCAGAATTGCATTTTACATGCATGAAGAAACATTTACTTTAATTCAAGCACTTAGGGTTTTTTTAAAACAATCCCCATATGCCACGGGTAGTACAAATGGCATTTCATGATCATGACTCCTGTGAAATTATCTGCTGCTAGCTCTGTAACACCAGAACCCTGTGAAAATTCCTGCTCATAAATTAAAGGTGCTAATACGGCTTTTAAGTTAAAAATATGATTAGGTGAGCAATCTTGTGTCAGGAAAGAATCTGCACACTTTCCCATATAATAGAGTAGTACTAAAGAAATAAAACACTAGCCCTGAAGGATGTGGCAGGATTGGGTGGCATATATATCTGGAATGACCAACTGGTCACATCTGATTGCTGAGCCCAAATTTTCATGATAGTTTGGGAAAAAAAGTCCCACTGTTAAGACGAAAGAACCCTCTCAAAATGTGAGAGAAAGAAAGTCTTATTTTGCATCTTAATGCCCCGTTCTTTTTTTGCATGATGCATGTAACACACACATATTATGTGTAAATGTACATATCTGTATGCCAAATATGACCATATATGCTTCATATCTATAATGCTCCAGACTGCTTGAAGGTGCCAATAATAGTATAAGGGGAACCCCTCATACAGCAAAGTACACTCTCAGCTGCTGGACCACCGTGCGGAAAACAGAGTAGAACCTGGAAAGAGCATTAGCCTTCTCATCGTTAGCCTTTTTAGAAAGTACAGCCTAGGATTTCTGAACTAGCATGTGCAAGCTAGGAAAGCTGCATATCTGCTTTCTTTCCTAGAAGACAACCAGAACAGAAGCCGAAGAAGAAAATACAAAGAATGCAAACAGATGAAATAGGAGCTACCAGAAACACCATGAACTCTTTGTTGCTTAGCTATAAAACCTATAGATATAAATCGTATTATATTAACTAGTTTATTCAATCTCCTTGTTCTCTCCCATGTCACTAATAAATGGTTCCCAGCTAAAGAACAAACAGGAGTTGGTGCTTGCAGAAAGGCCAAACAGATTTTTCTGGCTCCAGCAGCTCTTTTCAAATAATAACTCAACTCCAAGATAAGCTATCTGTGCTTCCTGAGCAAACAAAATCCAAAAGACTGATTTCACACTGTCTCTCCTGTGATGATCTCTTCTACTCTTTTATAACAAAAAGATTGGAATACCCATCCCGATGAATATCTGGACTGGGGCCACTATGGTAACCTATCTACATTTGGGAAAGAAAACTGAAAGCCAAGGTCTCCTGTCTCCACAGAGTTCCTTAATGTTTCCCATAAAAACTAATTGTTGCAGACTTTACTATTATTAAATTACAACGTGGGTTGCCTTTAGCTTAAAGCAAAACCTGGCCAGAGTCTTGGACAACTTGACAAAGGAGCCCAGGATTTTCATAATGGGAAATGTCAGAAAATAGCTTCTTGATCCAAGTTGGCTGTGGGATGGTCTTAATATGGAAGTAAGGGAGGGGTTGCAGGTTCCTTTCCCAGTAGCTAAAAATGATGCTATCTAGGTCTGTGTCTGTGAAGTGGGACACACTACACTTTCTTTTTTGAAGGGGAAGGGAAATTTGGGAGAGTTTATACACTAAGAGCACTGGCTGCATCCTTCACTTAGAAAGACCTGATGCAGGAAAGTAGAATTGGCTGTTGGAATAATTAATCTATTCATCTATCTATTCTCAACCTGTATATTTGTCTAGGAAATCTATATACATCTCTCTATCTATCTATCTATCTATCTATCTATCTAGGTCACTAATGATCTCCTTCCAAAAAGAAGCAACCCTAGTTCAGCACCAAGTCCATTCTACTTTTTATTAGACAGAAAAATAAGGCGAGCATAACATTGTGGTACAATGACTGTTGACACAGCTGTGCAGAAGGCTAGTCACTCAGAGCATGTAACAGTTTCTTCTAAGCAAGTCTGCTCATGGTTCAAGTCCTCAGGATGCAGGGACACATGTGAGCAAGCGGGATGGTATAACCACTCCACTGCTTTGGAGTGGAGGTAGCGTCATTTTCTTAGGGCAGGTTTCAAACACCAGGCAGAGAGAAGAAAAACGCCACAGGCACGGGCCCTGCTGGCTGAGTATGATAGGAGCTGTAGTCCAACACATCTGGAGGGAACCAGGATGGAGGAAATTGCTCCGCAGGGGAGGCATTAGCTGAGCAAGGGGATGGTGCTCACGACTGCGCGCTTCCGTTCCAATCCTTTCTTGACTGCAGGTAGGACGGAGGACGAGGATCAAGGCACATGCAACTTATCACACGTGTCACTTGACTGGTCCAACGGTTACCTTTGCTGACAGTCTGGAGAGGTTCAGCCAACCTTGAACAGACCGTCCTTAGTGCGCGACTCCCCTGGGGGTTCCATTACTGTACCATAAATAGCCAGGCAAAGCCCACAGAATCAGGCTTCATGCGAGCAAAGTAGATTACATTTCTAATGGTGCTACAACAAAGCATACTACTAAAAAGGTGTTAAAAGACAAGCTGAAGCTGCTCCGAGACCAACATACTTTAGAGGCTCAGCATCTGCTCCAGGAATGTAAGTTTGGGCTGTAAATGTAGAACAATTTGTCCTTCCTGTTTCAAAAAGAATTCTGAAATAGCCAGAGAGCATTAGCTGTTTGTACAATCAGGCACTGGTGGATTCTTTCTGCAGATATACATATACAATTTTAAAGAAAACACAGCTGCAGCTTTGGAAAACTGCATGGCAAGCAAAGATACTTTACAGGTCCTAAGCAATCAGCAGTCATTTTCCTAACCAAATTATCTTGATCGAGTCCCCTTCTTTTTCCATAGCGTTTCATCTTGACAGCTTTTCAATACGATTATCCCAAGCACAAACGAATCCTTTCAGCCATCAGTTTCAAAAGTCAGGCACTAAAAAACTATTATGAAGTGACGAGTGGAACATGCACTGAAATGTTGCAGTGGGGAAAGTGCCTCTTCCAGCTGGTCAGCCCTGCCCTGATCCATTAGGCTCCATTCCATTTCCTCTCCCACATGGTCTCCTTTCTCTCCCCCCCCCCACCCGCCCCGCAACGGCCAGCATGCTTCATCCCCACTGGGCTGATCTGCACCCTACCCTTGTTGGATTTTTTTCGTAAATGTACTTCTGCAAACCTTGGGGTTTCCTTTGACCCGAAGAAATCTTCCTCTTGTCCATGGATGGTGCTGTTTTGGCTACAGTGGCACTCACCTTCAAGCATCAGAAACAGAGTGAACAAGAGGGTCTCAGCATTTATTTATTTATTTTCTGATTTATATCCTGCCTTTTTCCTACAAAGGGCTCAAGGCAGCTTACATCATTCTCCTCCTCCATCTTATCCCCACAACAATCACCCTGTGAGGTAGGCTGGGCTGAGAGTCTGTGACTGGCCCAAGTCACCCAGTTGGCTCCATGGCTGAGCGGGGACTAGAACGCAGGTCGTCTGAGTCCCAGTCCCAGGCTCTGAACCACTGCACCACACTGGCTCTCAAAAGCATCACAATGCTTCCATATGGAGTGCTTCTCTTAGGGTTCCGGCTACTCCATTCCATTTCCCCTCCTTCCTGCCCCCGCTGATGTTCCCAAAGAGCCAATCACCATTCCATGCCCACTGCGCATGGCTGTCTGGGAGAGGGGCAGGGAGTAATCACCTTAGTACCCAAACCCAACTACGTTAAAAATTGGAATTTTCCATTGATTTCTATGGCAGCTCTCACATATGTTCCTGAGAACACTTAAAAACAGCTTTTTGGTGGGAAGCAAGAAATCTCTTACCCAGACAAAGAGGTGACTTTCTCTACCATTTCAGCTTGCATAGATCTCCTCCTCCGTCCTCCTTTTCCAGCCACTCCATTCCATTCCTGCTACCGCCTTGATTCTACTCATGTCTTCTCAGAAGCCAGTCGCCATTCCGCAGCCACTGAGCATGCTCAGTTCTCCCCAGGAGGTTTTGGAGAGTTCCCCCTGTTCTTTAGGGTTATTTCTCCTCCCCCCGTGTATATGTGGTGCAGTTGTGGCTGCATAAGCGCATGCACAGGAAGACTTGAGCACAGTAGTCGCATACAGATGACTACCGCAGAACTGAAGCCACATCGAGGACAGACTGGTTTGCAAAAGATTTGTTTCACCGCCAACTATATCATTTAAGCTGAAAGTATGAAGGTGATTGCTGCGAAAAGCAAAACCAAAGATGCCCACTAGTTTTGAGGCAAGGTGCAAGCATCCGCTCCACTTGGAGTTCAGGACAGGAAAAAGGACACTTTGTCATCCTCACAGTGAACTGCAGGGCTCACCCACCCTTCCAGCTGCAGACTTTTGAAACTGCCATGAATCCTCTAATTCAGCTACAGGGTATAGGCCATAAAGTTTATTGCCACAAATGGCTGACTTCTCAAGAGCGCTACAGCACAGTCTCGCCTGTTTTTCTCCGAGGTACGGAGGAACTCATCACTGACTCTCAGTGCTTACAACTGTCCCGCTCACTACAACGGCTCGGCGTGTCTGCAAGCGCACCCCATTAATGAACACGGCACGAGCCCTTTCAACACATCCTCTCCCTGCGGGAGGCCAGCTGATTGCCTGACCCCAGCTCACATCACTCCCCTCCTGGCAGAAAGCATTCTGAAGAAGGGGAAGTGTGTGGCAGCGCAGCGAGGAGAGGGAAGTTAACAGTATCATTTCAGCCTATTTAAAAAGGATGCACACTCAGCTCTGTTCAGAAGCAAGAGGAATCAGCAAGCCAGCGCAGGGTTCTCTTTGTCTGTCCCTGTTAAAACATACCCTGCCCCTGTTCCAGGCAGCTAACAGGCTTTGCAGAGAAGTTAACTCGGGGCTAAAATGCACACAGCACTTGGAATTATGTCAGGTTTTTAAAAATGTAAAGGCAGGCATAGTAAGGGGCAATTTTCAGTGGGAAAAAGAGGGAGCTGAACAGACGGTGAGGGCTGTCCCTAAAGCAAAAGGAATGTTTTCACCAAAATCAATGTCCAGGCCTGAAATGCAAACATCTCCTCTCCACCTGCTGTTGTCTCAATAAAAATGGATGCATGTGACATGTTTCTTTGACTTTTTTTTAAAACCCTGATAAGTTTTGCATCTAGTTTTCTCATCAGTGGTGTAATGGAACCAAGGCTCCCAGAAATGTAGCTCTGGCGCCCTTTTCATTGGCAGGGACAACTGTGTCATCATCAACCCTACACACACACCCCTCAGTTTCATTGCCCAATGCATTTTCCCCACAATGTATTACTCCCTGCTGTAATATAATGTGTTTTGTGGTGGATTGGTCTTGCATAGGGAACTAATACCCAACAGCTTCTTAACAGACCTGTTCCTCATCACGATTCCTGACTGTTGGTGCATTAGAGGCTTCATTAGGTACAATGGAACCAACTACCAAGGGAGTTGTGGACCCTCCCAAGATGCAACTGGGCAGCCATCTGAGAGGGATGTTTAACTTGGACCCCTGCACCGAGCAGGGGGTTGGACCCGATGGCCTTCCGGCCAATTCCAACTCTACTATTCTATGAGTCTATGATTCTGTGAAGTTGAAAGCTGCTAGAGCTGGTTCGTTGATGCAGCTCAACCCAGCTGCATGAATTTTTGGGTTCTCCTTGGGGGCATGACTTTGAGAGCTGTCTTGATGAGGGCCTGCACTTAAGTTATCCATGCGCTGGTAACCTCTCGCCTGGATTACTGTAATGCGCTCCATGTGGGGCTGCCTTTGAACACAGTCCAGGCACTTCAACCCATTCAAAACAGAGCAGCACAGCTATTAACAAGGACCGGCCCTCGAGAACATATCACGGCCCTCCGCCAACTGCACTGGCTGCCAGTTACCGCCCAGGCCGAATTCAAAGTGCTTATGCTAATATATAAAGCCTTAAAGGGCTTGGGACAGGGATAGCTAAAGGAATGTCTGTCACCATATAGCCCTAGCAGGCCACTCTGATCATCAGCTGAGGCCCTCCTTCATGAACTCCCCCCAAATGAAGTGAGGGGAAACTCAAGAGGAAAAGGGCCTTCTCTGTCATTGCACCTCACCTTTGGAATTCTCTTCCAAAAGATGTGCAACTGGCACCCACATTATTTTATTTAGTATTTGTTTTTAGGACTGTGTTTGATTTGGTTTTCCACTGCTTGTTTTATTGTTGCTTATATTATTGGATATCCTCCTGTTTGCACTCTATATTTGCACTTTACATTTGTTTTACATAATCATGGTTTTAGTGGTTATTGTTTGATCTATTATTTTTATGTGAGCTGTGATGCTATGTTTGCGGTGTGAGCCTCCCAGAGAGCCCTTGGGCAATGGGGCATCATAGAAATGCAATAAATAAATAAATAAAATTTGTCACTACAGCACAGCTTACCAAACACACCAGGTATGAACCAGCCAAAGACAGAAACCTTAGATCATGTGGACTCCAATGGGAGACTTAAATATGCCTAACTTTCTCGTATCAAACTTGTTGGGATTTTAAAATCCCTAATTCCTGTTGTGTTGGGCCATTCCTGTGGGGTTTAGCATCAGACACACTATGCTTAGTTGCATGAATGAAATTATTATCTTGACTCTATCGAATATTATGATGGGTCCCCAAGCTGAACTACTTCCTCTGATGACAAAGGGAAAAATATTTTCTAGACAGATCAAAGTCCAAGCTACACTTTATGCTGACATCCATCCATCCATCCATCCATTTCTATTGCCACCCCACATAAATCTCCCAATGTTTGTGTTTTTACATGCAGCCCCCAAGCTGGGGAGTGGAGAGAAACCATTTACCAGGTTTCTTCATTCCACTGGGCTTGTGCTAGGTGGACAAATCCCATAAAAAGATCTCGTCCTAGGCTATCTCACATAATAAGTCTGGCCCTAAAACAAAACTCTTTAAATCAGAGTTCAAGTTCAGAACTCCTGAGTTCTACACCAGGTAGCTGGGCTGGGCAAGATGACACATAGGCAGACCAATACATATCACAGCTGTTACAAAGCTGGAAAAAATACACAAAACCCAGGCAGAAAAGATCTGACATGTTCTTCAAGTCCTCCGGCTGTACTAGTGCCAGGCTGCATCATGTTGCTAGTCAGGCCAGGGAGATGACCCAGCCTAGTCTGATGTCTTCTGACTGGCAGCAACTCTCCAAGGCCTCTTCTTTCCGCCCACATAGCTCAGATCTTTCCAGTGGAGATGCCAGGAATTAAACTAGGAAACCCTTTTATTCTGGGCATGTGCCGGACCACTGAGCTGCCGTTCCCAGGGGGGCCCCAGGGCTTAGCCGAACCCCAAGCTCAGCGTATTACCAGGAGCACACAGACTATGGGTCCTTCAGCACTGAGCGATCACACACAGTCAAGCCCTTCAGACACCAAAAGGACAGAACTTCCAAATAATTGCCTACATTGGTGCATATACTGGAAAGAGAAGCGCCAAATCCTTCGTTCCTCTCTCTTAATTAACGGTGAGGAATCGATTATTGTGATAGATGTGTTTTATGCTACATTCTTCCTCTTTTTTCCCCTTCTGGAGCTCCCCCTCCGGGTTTGCTTTTCTCTATTATTCTTAGATTTGCAAATTTAGAAAACAGAAACCCGCTCCGGTGAGCGCGGCACCTCCTCTCCAAGACGAAGACCGCGGAGGAGAAACGACAGCAGGCAGAGGGGAGGCAGGCGCGCCGGGCGCGGGGCAGCTTTCGCGAGCGCAACGAGCGCGCCCGGCACCATCGCGCAAGCCGGGGCGCCTTCCCCGCGCGGCCCGGCCCCCTCCGCGCCCGCTGCGCCGATCCCCAGCGGCGGGCGCCCCGTCCCCGCCGCCGCGCAGCCGCCCTCGCGCGTCCTCACCCGTGTAGTTATTCCGGCCACGGCCGGCGTCCTCCCGGATCACCACCGTCCTTGAGACGTCGAGGATGGAGGCGGTCGCCGTCTGCATGGCTCCCGCGCCGTCTCTCTCCGGCTGCTCGCGCGCGACCCTTGCAGCGCCCGGCCCGGAGGCGGCGCGGACGGCTGGCGCTGCCGGGCGAGCTCAGCGGCCGCTCCTCGCGAGCCGGGGGAGGAAGAAAGGGCGGGAGGCGCCCCTCCTCCTCCTCCTCCTCCTCGCCGCCGCCGCCTGCGATCTCCGGCGGCTGAGCGACCCAGGCGCGCCAGCGAGCGTCCCCCCGCATGCAGGGATCCTCGCGCGTTGCCGCCGCCGCCGCCGCCCTCTGCCCGGGGAGGACTCGCGCGAAGAGGTCCCGGCCCCGATGCCGCCCGGCCGGCCCTCCGCGCGCGGGCTCGCCCTCGCCGCACTCTTACTTCCCGCTCTTCGGTGGGCGCGCGCTTCCCCGCCGCCTCCGCTTCCCCGGCGCCTCGAGCAGCGAGCGAGCAGTGGCTGGCGGGCGGGGGGGGGGGGGGCGGCGCTGAGCACCTGGAGACCCCGCCCTCCGCCCCCACCTCGGCGGCTGGAAGAGCAGCCGGGAGGCGCGGCGCGTCGGGCTCCTAGTTCAGCCGCGCCCCCAGCCGAGCGCGGGGGCTCCGTGGGGAGGATCGGCGCTTCCCACCCGCGAGAGGCGCGCGCGAGCCCGCCGGGCCGAGGGGGCTCCCTGACCCGTCCGCGTTCGCCTCGGCGCTGCTTTGGCGTGTCCTGGCGGGGCTCGGTGACTGAACGAGCGGCGCACCTTTCCGATCCGTTCGTGGACGAATGCTTCCTGAGCAGGCACGCAAGCCCCCCTTGACGCGCGGATCCGACCCGCGAGCGCCTCTTTTGCTCGCCGGGCTGACTCGGGAGCTTCTCCGAGTCGGACCCGGTGGAAAACGGACTTGTACGCGGTGCAGTGGAG